GAGGTTACTGGGTGCTTCTAATGGTGAGGGCTGTCTGTACTGGCCCTGTGATGGACTGGTGGGCTGAAGCCTTGTCAGCTGGGATGGGCTCCAGCCCCTCTATAGCAGCACGGTGTATAGAAAACGGCATCCCCGTCAGAGCGCTGCCCCGGGGTGGACGTGTCCAGAACGTGCACCAGAGCACCGGTCAGTCAGGCTGAAGTCCAGCAATGTGTCGTGTTCTAACAACACACTAGTTATTATAACAACTATGAACAATAATGAACAACTAATGATCCTTCCAGCATCAAGCCCTCCTCGTATCTGGACCTCCGTCTGGACAATCCCACAGCCTTGATATCCGACATAGAAGAAGGTTTTACATTTAGTGTCGGGTTATCGGGTCACGACTGTTCTTATAAATAATAATAAAGGCACATCATAACACGGCAGCTTGTTGCTATAACTACTAGCGTCCATCCTCTCAGTCGGTGTGAGCTCTGGTTGAAGCCTGATACCTGCTCAGAAGTCTTTGTCATGGTGCCCACTGCTGGCTAAACCCCCACAATGCTCTCTGCTTGTCCTGCCTCCTTGGTTCAGGTACTACAGCTACTGTACAACACATTCTCTGACATGTGTCATTTGTCTTCTGCTTTATTGATTATGATGCTTTATTATTAATTGATTAATGATTAATCAATGCCAATGACATCCCTGCTCATAATGCTGCCTAGTCAGCAGTGTTCTGGTGGAAACTAGAGGCACAGCCATGTTCATATCAGGTGATTTAGGCTTACACAAAATCCTAACTATTGATGAAGTTAGACTGCATTACACACATACAGAGAGACAGGTTTTTTCTCCCAGAATCCCCAAAATGCAGACACTACGGGGAAACAGTGCATCTCACATTACAGGATATTATTTAGAATATGGTGCCAGAGGGAGCAGAGCGCCGTCCAGGGATCTCATGGGGAAGAGATGGAAACAAAACAGAGGCTGTGGTGCAACACTCTGCTGTAACACCAACAACACACGACAGCGAGAAACAACAAGAGCAGAGGGAAAGTCCTCTGATGGGAAAGTGGTTTGTGTTCTTCAGCTGGAGGTGAGATATGAACGAGCGGTTTGAATATCTGTAGATGAACTGCTGAATGGTTCAGCTTTGAGTCTCCTGCCAGCCTGACAACCGTCACCATGCTGATAGACACCAAACATGAGTCTGAGACGGTTCAGCTGCTTCACACTGGATCTGTAAACTCACATCCTCTAATCATCCGGGCCCAGCATCTTCTCAGACCCACACCTGATTTCTCCTCCACCTGTCAGGATGAACTGACCTGAAGGTCGTGTGGTGTGAGCTTGACTTTGGTTGAACAAACCTCTGATGAGCAAATCAAGTGTCATCAGAACACAGCTTAAAGAGCTTCTTCATTACAGACCAGACATTCACCAGAGTGGTTTTAATCTGCTGAGTCCTCAGACGTTCAGATTATTTTCAGCTGTAGGATCGTGACTTGCTCTCATACTTTTGAGCCTCGTTCATTTTGTTGTTTCAAGTGTTTAACACACAGAAACACTAAAACAACCCTCAGCCCCACGAGGCCATCGATCCTCACCTCAGATCATCTGCTTTGATGTGTTCCAATAAATAACAGGATAAATAAATACACATAAAAACAACAACAACAGAAATAATATAGAGAGGAATACATTAAATCCAGAGAGGAACAGGACAGGTGACCCAGACAGGTGACCCAGACAGGTGAGAGCTGCTGCAGCACCTTCCCGTCCCAACGTTCAGCAGCTGAAGTCAGTGATTGTTTTGTGTGTGGGTTGGCGGCTGTGGAGAACTTTTCTCTCACCTCTTTTCCTCTTGAGCTTCCTCCGGCGCTGCTTGTTGACAAAGCAGGCAGCCATGGTGCTGAACAGAACAGCTGCTGCCAGGAAGCAGATGGTGGCCACGATGCCGGCCACCACCGGTCGCGCCAGTCCACGTTCCTCCACCAGCTCCGGAGGAGGGAAGAAGTCTGCGGGCCAGAGTCAGAGGGGAGAGTGAGGGATGTGTGATGCTGTGGTGACGGAGGGTTTGGTGATACGTACACCGCACTGAGACGGAGAAATGACAAATTAGTTCCACACAGCAACATGTCGGTTTGCTCACTGCACTTCTTCAGTTCACTGCTGATGTCAACATGCATGTTCTGACTCTGAAACAAGTTCAGGTCACAGATGTGAGTCCACTGGAGGAAGCATACTGTCTCCTACTAGAACATCTGTCATCTGATCAGGCAGCTTTTAATTACGAGTCCACAAACTGAATCTGGACTTTTCATTTATTTTTTGGAGCATGCAAACAAACTTCTCAGCCATTATGTCCTCTGCTGGTTTCCTGTCACTGGCAAAAAGAAAAAAGGCATCAGGTCCAATCTTTGTTCGCTGCAGCTGAAAAGCCTTTGAAGGGTGTATGAAAGGAAAGTTCCTGCCATATCCAATGAGATTCAAATATGCTGGAGCTGACCTTTACTGCTGCATGTGGCTTCTGCAGGGTATAGGCCATGATGACATCGCAGAATGATAATTTCTTTCCCAAAATATCTGCATTCAGAACTTCCTGCGTAGAACGCCAACGTGCGACTGCTGCCTCTGGAAGGTGTGAAGGTTTATGAACACTGGAGGTTTACAAAGATCTCCTCTGCTTACAATCATCAGTTGTGTCTGATAAAGCTGCTCCTCAAATAGTCGGACTATCAGCCTGAGAAGTCCAAAACTAAAAACCATTTCACGATTGGACTGCGAGGTTTCTCCTCCTGGTGGATCGATACGTGTGCAGAGAAGCTTTCCCACTTCAGCAGATGAACGTAAAACACATGAAGGACACACATCCTTCTCTGTGGTTGGACTCAACCAGCACAGCACAGGAACAAGATTTAGTAGATGTGCTACTGGCTCACCACAGGGGGGCGCTGGTGTGTCACGTCCACCTCTAGGTGGCAGCAGCAGCAGATAATTTATTATAGGTTATTGTTGTTTGGGTGCTGTTCTAATACCTCATAAAGATCTGCTCTGCTTTCAATAACAAAAGAGGACAAAAGAGGGACTAAATGCTTCAGAAGAGTCTGAAGGAGATGAAGTGTTCCTCAGAGGCCTGAGCGTCTCCATCAGGACGAGCCGTACAGTCCACGCTATCCACATGTTCCATCAGCTGACATGATAACACAGATTTGGTCATTATGATGTCTCTGCATTCATCTCACCATAAACTACTGGCAGTAAAGATATCTGATCCTAACTGTGTTGCAGAGATCGTCTGGAGTTTGTCGCTTTATTCACTGCAGTGTTCACACACAGCAGCCTGGTGGAGAACCAGGACAATGCCCGTCCCATTCCTCCCAGTATAGAGACAAACATCTGGCTGGTTTGCGGTTAAGGAGAGAAACAGCTCGTATCACCAGAAGAGGTCAGTTCTGATGAAGACCATTACAACGTCTTCATCTGAGAAGCAGGAGCGTGAGAACGGGTGAAGACATGAGTAGAAACATTGGATCAGTCTCAGTAACAGGATGACTTCAGTATGTACTAACAGATGGCTCTGGTTGGACTGGTTTGACTGGTTAGACCTGCTCCTACCATAGATGTCAACATATCTGATGAGTTCATGCCAGAGGACAGCTGCTGAGCTCGATGCCGATCCAACATCGTCTATTCTTCAAATAAACAGGAAACTATAACTGCAATAAACACGGTGAGAACAGTTCACCCAACAGCAAGGATCTGGATGACGGTGTCTGTTGGGCTCTGTGGGTTGGGCCAGAACACACAGAACCTCAGACATGGAGGGTCTGATCAGGAACATCTAGAAACTGAGCTGCTCATGAAACTCATGAGTGCTTGCTTGTATTGTATTTACTGACTGGCTCTGCCTGACCTTTCAGGAAGCATTAACAGATGTAGAAACTTGTCTAATTCAAATTTAAAGTGATAATAGCATCAGTCTGGTACGTTCCAGAACATTCACAGCATCCTGTACGTACCGTTATCAGGTAGCTGCACTGCCAGGACACCCTCAGCTCTCTATCCGACTCTGAAGCGGTTTGTCTTCCTGTTTTCTGTTGCTGCCTGCAGTCTTTAGCTGGTTACAGTCAAGGATCCATCAAAGCCAGGATTACTGTGAGCAGCACAGCTCTGCATGAACCAGCAGACTCTGATCCTGGAAACCCAGACGGTGTACGAACACTGCAGAGCTACCAACTTTCACTGCTGTCCTGACTTACTAAGTGGTTTGGTGGCCTACATTCTAATGGATTTGTCAGTGAGGACCAGGGGGGATCTCCGTGGTGGACTTGTTGGAGTGGTTAATGTGCTGCAGTGGAGCGTGATTCAGCAAAAGGCAGAGCAGCATCAGGACCAGTGGAACAGGAATGTGATCAACCACAGAGCGTGGTGTTGTGTTTGGAAGGCCGGTGTGTGTCCACATCATGTTCAGGATGCTCAGAGAACCTAACCCTAACCCTAACCCGGCCGTGTGAACGGTACATCAGCAGACAGCCGAGCAGCACCGGCACAGCTCCCCAGCTCCACCAGTGGGGGGCAGCAGAGCACTTCCAGAGCGCTAAAGCTTCCTGGGAAACCAACAGCTGCTCCTACCAAACCATGTGTACTCAGTGACCTCTGCAGGGGAGCCACATCACATTTTGAGGGGTTTAATTTCAGATTCAAAACAGACTTTCAGTGTTGCAGCCAAAAAAAGACCTGCTTTGATGAGTCTTTTTTGTTTTTTTTAGCACGAAGCAGCCGAGTACGATCCGTGAGGAGTGAGCAGAGAGATGATGTCATACTTTTCAGGATGCTACCAAGGAGCGTGCATGTAAAGTGAGCTTAAATTTAATAGTGCTGAGTGGGCAAAATGTAAAGTTGGAGTTGCTGCGTGTGCAATACATCTACATCTACCGCTCTTTAGCCGGGAAACGTTAAGATAGCCTGAGGTTAGAGATGCTGGTTGCAGCCAGAGGTTGTCGGGTTGAATCCCAGCATTGACAAAACAAGCTCCTCTGAAAGCAAGGCAGAGCAAACACACTGTGTAGTGTAGGGTTCACACACTGTGTAGTGTAGGGTTCACACACTGTGTAGTGTAGGGTTCACACACTGTGTAGTGTAGGGTTCACACATGGGCTGTTTGTACCTTCTTATATATAGAATTTGCTCGTAATCGCCACACATGACATTCTGATCAATGACACGACGGCTCACCTGTGCTAGACACTCCTACGACGTTACTGGGCTCGCTGATCATGTCGTCCATGATGGCCATGACACGGAACTCATACCACGCCTCCTAGTGGTAGGAGAAGAGACACAGGTTAGTGTTCGGAAGGTAAACCAGTCAGAGTCTCACATCTGGAACCAGAAACGGATCAGTCAGCCAGAGGAGAGGTTCTGTTTGTGTCACCAACGTTTGGGAAACAGATTGTTCAGCTCTGTCTGTTACACATGAAACAGTTATGATGCCATCTAGTGTGAGCGTTCTAAAACCTGACACACACACACACACACACACAGAGGACAAACAGAGATGGTGGTATCATCGTGAGGCATTGGGGTATCCTGATTGGACCAGGTGTCTCAGTGGTTAGCACCGTGGCCTCACAGCTAGCAGGTCACCGGTTGGCGTCCCGGTGAGGACACCCGGGATCTTCCTGCGTGGAGTCTCCATGTTCTCCCCGTGCAGCGTGGGTTCTCTCCGGGTTCTCCGGCTTCCTCCCACAGTCCAGAAACATGCTGAGGTTAATTGGTGATTGTAAATTGTCCGTAGGTGTGAATGTGAGTGTGCTTGGTTGTCTGTCTCTAAGTGTAGCCCTGTGATAGACTGGTTACCTGTCCAGGTGAACCTGCCTTCACCATGAGTCAGCTGGGATAGGCTCCGCCCCCCATGACCCTGGTGAGGATGAAGGTGTAGAGATGATGGATGGATTGGACCTGACACTTTGAACACAGAGTTAGCGGTACCAGACAGGGAGGGTCTGCATGATGGGATTCATGAAGCATTCAGCAACGTGTGGAGTTTGATTCTCAGTCGGGACTAAAATGATCTTAACTTTTAACCATCCATCCATTATCTATACACCGCTTAATCCTCATTAGGGTCGCGGGGGGCTGGAGCCTATCCCAGCCGACTTAGGGCGAAGGCAGGGGACACACTTTTAACCATTTCAAGCATTTTAAAATTTGGCTCCTGCAAGTCCAGTCTAGCCAACAAAACATCTAATAATAGACCAGTACCAGGTCAGAGCCCAGAGGAGACGTTACCATTAATACCTGTACTGAAGTTGAATCAAAGAATTTCAAACTTCAAATGTTCAATCAGAGTTGGTATGTCTGTTCCAGGGCAGCCTCACATCCTGTCAGCATCAGGCAGGAAGCACGAAGACTATCGAAGGCAACAATCAGTCTGCAGCTAACAGTGTCTCATCTGGGACATGTCCAAGGACGAACATGGGACAGGGTTTAGTTTGACTTGGAAAGATGACGGTGCACAACTTAGAAGTGAATAAATACATGTTGGAGGAGGAGACTGTCATTTGTGTCACTGTGGAGTGAAAACTATCTGGTGTCTGTATGAAGACTGTGTTTGTCTGTGAGGCCTAAAGATGCCACTCGTCTACATACGACTGATCCGCTCGCATCATTCCCTAAAAAACATTTAGTTTCACGTGTGCATCATTTCAGGGACAAACTAAACCGCACATGACAGAGTGATGATGAGCTCAGTGTGAGACGACCTGACAGGACGCTGTCATGAAAGACTGACTTGGACTTTCTGAACCCGTGTGCTCTGCAGAGGGCCGGGTCAGAACAGAACAGTCAGTTGTTCTGCTCACAGACACTTCAGCAGGGAGCAACACACACTTTGTCGCCCTGTTGGTTTGATAAATACGCCCAGATGATGGATTTACATGTGACCACAGCACCTTCACACCAAAACGCAGCCGTAGAAACTCCAGCGAGTGTCCCTCTGGGTCACATGATCTCAGCAACGCAGAGGGAAATTTGCAATGGAGAAGTTATACAATCAAGGTGTGTGTGTGTGTGTGTGTGTGTGTGTGTGTGTGTGACAGAGAGAACAGTGTGTGTGGGTGTTTGCAGTGCAATGGAAGGAGAGATAAAAGCATTGCGTGGAGCTGAAGTGGTGGATAGATTAAAGACAGACGCTCCGTCGTGTCAGAGCTCCTAAATCACAGAACATTTACTGACTTTCCTTCCTGCAGAGCTCCAGGAAATGTTTAGCACTCTGAAAATAATAATAATAACTAAAGAGCACCGTGTTCATTATTAGTATTGATCCGGTTTGTGATGTTTCAGTTGCTCCGCACACGACACGAGAAGTCCTGAAGCGCACACGCGTGTCCTACACATACACACAACATAGTAAAGAGAAGAAACCACGAGATATTTAAAGAGATGTGCTCACCTGCATTGTTACTATGACAACCAAGGTGGCTATGACAGCACATGAACAGCCACAAAAAATAAATAAATAAGAAACTTTGGCAGCAGCGCTGATCTTCACCTCAGTGGAGCATGTTGGTCAGAACATATCAAGAAAAAACATCCGTGTTCTGCAGCAGCTGGTATGTTTGTGGCGTGATGTCATCTGAGGCTGCTCAGTGAGCACCCAGGTGACAGACGTCCATCCATCCATCATCTCTACACCTTCATCCTCACCAGGGTCATGGGGGGCGGAGCCTATCCCAGCTGACTCAGGGTGAAGGCAGGTTCACCTGGACAGGTAACCAGTCTATCACAGGGCTACACTTAGAGACAGACAACCAAGCACACTCACATTCACACCTACGGACAATTTACAATCACCAATTAACCTCAGCATGTTTCTGGACTGTGGGAGGAAGCCGGAGAACCCGGAGAGAACCCACGCTGCACGGGGAGAACATGGAGACTCCACGCAGGAAGATCCCGGGTGTCCTCACCGGGACTTGAACCGGCGACCTTCTAGCTGTGAGGCGCTAACGGTGCTAACCACTGATTCACCTGCAGGGAGGACAAACTTCTCTATGATGATGATGATGATGATGATGATGATGATGATGATGATGATGATTATTATTATTATTGTGATTATGTGGCGTTACGTATAAACACAACATTTTCTAAACATGTTCTAAACAGACTCATGGTTTCGTGCTAACTCTAACTCCAGAGCCGAGGGATTGATTTTGTGTAGCTTTCACTTCTTTTTTCTTGTTCTTCCACCTTCAGCAGCAAACAGTGACAAACTGTTAAATCAATACAGATGGGAAAGAGCAAACAGGAAGAAACTAAATTTAGTCCCATCAAATTACAGCAAAAGATTTCCAAAGGCTTCGTCTGATGATGTTCAGATGAGGTGAAATGATGGAAAGCTTCTGCTTCGTTTACAGTGTGAGTGTTGAGCAGATTTGATGATGTGGAATTAACATTTTAAACCTTTTATCTTCATGATATTTTCCCCTTTGATGACACCTCAGGATGCTGCAGTGGAGCTCTGCCTGGAGTCCTGCTGCACATTCACGTGAATGTTGAAGGAAACATGCTGCTGCTGCTCCTGACCGGACACACCTCGTCCAGTTCTGGGAACTACGGGCTGTGAAAAGCGTTTCTTTTCTCAGTGGTCGCTGCAGAAGCGCCTCTCATCATCACTGATGATCCCTGACATGGAAGCTGGATGCTCCTGCTGACTGACTCAGACTGAGATGTTTCCTTCTCTGCTCCAGTTTGAGGTCCACAGAGAAATCAGATGTCACACAACATCCTGACTGCTGACAGCAACAGCTCACACGTGTTGCGTTCACATGGAGCTGTTTGGTCCGTGTTCCTGTATCGTATGACTGCAGACGACCAAACAGAGAAGGGTTCACTCACACCGTCTTCTCTGTATGATCTTGAGCACCAGCATGTAGAACTGTTTTTAACACTCCATCTGCTGCTCATGACCATCGGGGAGGTATCTGATCATTCTCCATCCCATTCTGCACAACAAGCAGCAGCAGCATCCAGTCGATGTCTGAAGGCCGTTCTCCACTCCAGGCACTTGTAGGTCATCTTAGGGCAGCCTGGAGCTCTGTGTGTTTTTTAACTGCATGAACGGTTTCTGGATTCTCAGTGTCCTTGTCAAGCAGCAGCCTTCTGCTCTCTAACATCTACACTGGACTCTTCATACAGGCCAACACGACATGGTTCAGGTTCCTACACGCCCATAAAACCTCACGACTCCTCTGAGTTTATAAGGAACCATCATCAACCACATGGAAAACAAGGAGTCCTGCAACAGAGGCTCTGATCCTCACAGAGCCCGGATCATCATGAGCTCTGTTACAGGAACAGCCTGGACACATGGAGACAGATGAAGATGAAGGCTGCTCACACCAAACGCTGACTTATCCTCTCTCTGCTGCTCTTGTCCTCATGACTTCATCAGTAAATAAACTACTGTTGAAGTTGATTTAAAGGCGTGTGCTGCCGACACAGATAGACTCTGTAGTTTCACACGTCTCTGTAACAGCGGTCACGTCCTCAGACTTTTTGACCATATGGACACAACAAAAAGCCGAGAACAGGACCAAGATAGAGACAAGATAAGATAAGATACGGTTCAAATAAATAAATTAAACAGACACGACCAAAGTGTTGTAGCTCTGGTCTGTTCAGGAAGCTCAGGATGACAAACAGGATGAATCTCAACCTCACGCTCCTGATTCACAACAATTATTAAATAGCAGACTGTTAGCTCTGTTCTGATCAATAATTTAGGGCAGCACTTAGGAAACAACGTGTGGCTTTGGTCTTGTGGATGCTTCGGGCTATTTTCAAGAACAACAGGATCGTAGCTCTGAAACGCTTTCAGTTCAGAACCCCTGACAGCCCAACGGACCGAGAGAGAAACCAGCTAATATCTGGATTCTAACTGATGAGTAAAAGCTAATTAGTGAACTGAAGGGTGTGTTGGACCCTCCACTCCACCTCAGACCTCTCTCTGGACCTGCCAGGTGTAGGTCTTGTACAAAACTGTGTGAAGTCTCCAGACCGTGTGCTGTGTTTTACCTGGACCAGGTCTCGGGCCAGCAGCTCCGTCTCCCCGGCGGGAATGCTGTCGTCCAGGACCTCCCATCGTTCTCCCAGACGAAACTCCATGACATAATGCTGGATAGGTGCTGTGTGATTGGCAGGTGGGATCCAGGTGAGCAGGACTCCCTGCTGCGTGCGATTGGCTGTGAGGCACCGTGGTGGGGTAAGCAGCACCAATGGTTCAGGGGTACTTATAGGAAATACTGGAAGAGCACATGAGGGTGGAGAACATGTGAGTGACTCAGTTCTAGTGAATCAGCCGCCTTCACACTTTGACACCAACATGCATCCGAACTGTGACCAGATGTGAAGAAGCTTTGATACTGAATTCATCAGCAGCATGTGCAGGAAGCTCAGTAATGTTTCTCTCTGCTTCATCATGTGTCCTGACAATCTGTTTCTGTTCCTGCTGCTGTTAAACCTCCTCCCTTTACGGTGGCTTCAGTGTTTCCTACTTTAACAGAAGTCACACCACATGCTGTCTGTCTCTAAGCAGCTGCAGCGTAGCGTCACGCTGGACAAACGTGGACTCAGGTTCATGTATGAGCGTAAAGTTTTGTTATTTTAAAGTGAATTTAACTTAAACTGTCGTTTTGTGTTTTCAAAAGAACCAGAACCATCATGTTAGCAAACCACCAAACGTTTCCTCTGTTCTGTATTATAAACGTGTGTCTTTACGTCTTGTCTAAACCAGGCCTGCTGGTCTCTGGAGCAGCGTCCTGTCTTTGTACTCACTCAGCTCCAAGTTCATTTCAAATGAGGAAATCTGGAAATAACAACTGGAATAAAGGAAAACAAATCCGTCCTTTATAAGCTTAATATCTAAATGCCTTCATTCAAACTTCAGTTATCTGACCTCAGATATTTTAATCACAGAAGACAACTTTGAGCTAATTGTTGAGTTCAGTGACTTTACGTTTGCTGGCAGCAGAGGAACGTTTCTAAGCAGAACATACTGCACATTATTCATCCTGTATGAGTCCTGAGTCCAGGCCAGATCCTAGCGACACTCAGCACGATTGAACCCAAATCCACAGGAGGCCAGAGGCCACGTGATAAACACACATCCCATCTAACAGGTTCAATTAACAGTTATTAAAAGGCCCAGAATTCATCCTTCTCTGAAGTTCTTTATTCATAAACTAGCTGAGTAACAGCCCATGCTATTGAACATCTGCTAGATAGATCCGTTTGGTTTCATTGTGAATTATAAAGCAGTCGGCAGCCAGCGGCCCATCAGGCCCGGCCACGTTTAATACCGGTACCACAACCCGCCCCGGTGCTGGTCCTGCTCAGCACAGAGGCTGACTGGTGCAGATATGAAGATGGATGTGACCTTGAAGTTCTTCATTTCTACAGCATCAGATCTGGTCGTTAGGTGCTTTTGCAGACTCTAGAAAAGGCTGAATGGCAGAACATGGCTATGGGTCTTCTCTAGGTCAGGATCTTCATGAACAGAAGTAAAAATATTGTTTTTGCTTTTCAGGTCTCAGTCTGGTCTGGTGATGAAGACAATGAGAGTTATTTCATTACAAAGCTCTCCAAAGTGCTTCTTGTTCTCATAGGTCCGGTCTGACTGTTACTGACTGAATTTAACCAAAGACTGAAGATCTTCACGTCCATGCAGTTGCCTTCATTTACTGTCTGAGGACTCAGCCTCCCCATTACCATGAAAACAGATGGTTTCCTACACGTCTGCTCTTCCTTCAGCGATGGCTGAGACGTGTTATATGTGACGGCAAATGAAGGATGGAGGACTTTGTTTAAAGTGTTGTTGAAGGAGAGGAAGCCAACAGGCAGCTCCTCTGCTGACAGCTTCGTCTTTTTCTTTCTCATCCTTCACTGACACAGAAGGTGATGCAGCATGGATAGTTATCTCCATCCAGCATGTCACTTATCTCTAACTAACAACCTGTGACAGCTTCATTTACACTGAATAAATGTCCGTCGACTTCACTGCTTTAAGGATGAAATAATGCACCATCACTCAGACAGAGCTCCGGTGGAGATTCCAACACTGTCGCTCAGATGATCACCACAAACAAACGTCTCGGGTTTGTTGTACAACATCATGAACAACAACCAGTTCTTATACAGAACCAGAACAAGCAGGTGAACTCTTCAGCTTCACTGGTCCACTGACAACAACGTCCCCCTGAAAAACCATTCTCAGTCAGTCGGTCACAGTCGGGCCAAAACCAGCACCTCTGGGCGCTGTGGATCAGAGAACGTTGAAGCACATGAAGTCTACAGGCTAGAGTGTGAGTTTCACAACTCTGAAAAGGAAAAACAATGTTTTTGACTTGATCCTAATGAACCAGTAGTCTGGAGGATGAACAACAGTCTGATCAGTGAACGGACTGAAGCAGGAGAATGCTGCTGTGAGTACAGCAGAACCGGACCGCCTCCTCATGAAGGACCCGACCTGGGATCATGGTGCCAGGCTGCACTTCAACAACACACTGGGAGGAAAGTGTTCAGTCACAGCAAATCTCAGCTGATGTTTGGTGAAACGAGGGTTTCTCTGCAAACCAGTGTCTCCAGTCTGGTGGTAGAACCAACATCACTCTGCTTTCTGACACTGGACTGTGTTCAGCTCAGAGGAGACAAACAGAGCTTTCTGACTACACCTGCTTCACCTGGTCGCTCACAGGTAGCTGTGATGAACAGACCATCCAGACAGGACACACGCATAAAACACCATGTTCGTCAAATCAAGTCGTAAATACATAATTGTTGAAAACGTCCATGAACATGATCAGCTCAGCGTGGATGTGCTGGTAGCTGCTGTTGGTGCTCCGCCAAACCGCCGTGCACGTATGAAGACAACCGCAGACGTGTGACCGACCCAGACAGGAGGCTCAAACACCAGCACTGAACGCTCCCTGTGCCGTTACTATGAAACTACTGCACCGGGGCAGCTGTGTTGTCTCATGATCCAGCTACGATTTACCACCAAAGGAACGGCGCCGCTATCGATATAACACCACACGTCCTCGTAGTGCTTCACATTTTACAGCAAATTTCCATAAAACGTAATGAAAGGAGGGCGTTGTGTCGTGTTAGAGCTGATCTGCTCCTCTGCACCTTCAGCACTAAACACATCTGGAACACCAAAGAGGTCGGCCACTGTTCTAATTGTTAAAATGAGGAATCGAAGAATGCAAATTAGAATCAAGACAATTTCTCCAAAACTGAATACAGCGGTGCCAGAAAGAAAGCCCGTCCATATGGACAAGCTGCTGAATGAGATGATTGTTTTGTGTACAGACTAGCAGCCGCTCTAGCCGCCTGCCTGCCAGAGCAGTTTGTTCTGATTGGATCCTTTGTGGTGGCTGAGCGGCGGTGGGTGTACTCACCTAGTGTGTTCACAGTGACAACCTCGCTGAAGGGGCCTGTGCCAAGCTTGTTTTGGGCCAGAACGCTAAACTGGTATGTTGTCTCTGGCTCCAAGCCGGGCACCACCATCCAGTCGTGGCCTCCAGGCACGGGTATGGAAAGCCAATCATGTGGACCTAAACGCTCCCTCTTCAGCCTGCACAGGAGTCAGGATGAGAGGTGATGGACAGACGGGAAAGACTTTTAAAAAGGTGACTCAGGAGATGGAGATGGAGGTTACAGAGGTGCCGTCACTTTTAGGTTTTAGGTAAACAAATGTACATTCCAGCTTTTTCTCAGCAACAGAATTAAAGCACAGTTTAGCACATGACAGCAGCAACAAACAGAAGGAGTCATAAACGCTCTGAGTTCCTTATTACATCATTCTAACATGAAATACTTCAGCATGTATTGTTCTCAGTCACAACACGGCTTTCACTGGATGGAATGAAGCCCATGCTGCACTCAGCTCTGCACTGTGAGCCCATGCCATACATGATGCAGCGACTGAAGCAGACACCTGCACACATGCACACACTGCAACACTGCTGTCAGCAGCACCGGGAAACACAACAACACACTGAATGGTACAGGAAATGCAACGTATTGTCCACTGATGTCATCTAAATACTGTAGCTACAGGACGATGGAGTAAGTCAGCACGTT